CTAGTAAAGCATTCTAATCCTCACACATCACAGGCTACCAAAAGAAATGATTCAATTTAAGTGAAAGTTTTTGCTAGCCATTGTAGATATTATTATCTGACGAGGGTGTAGGTATTTACTCCCTCATAAGAGGGACAAAGCCTGGTATAAAGCTTATATAATGCAAATACATATGATAATGTGTATAAAGAAACATAAAATTGCATGTGATAGTGTGTATAAAGGAATATAAAATTTTCAACCTCATAAATCAAGACAAAAAATGAAGAACGTTAGTAAACAAATAACATAATCATTACATTTTAAAACCACTAGATTAAAGGATAGGATAAATTTAAAATTTATGGCCTGACTCTCTAATGATCTCTAGTGGAGTCGTCAAACTATCATAACAAATAGATTTGTAAATTTATAGCTAGACTTAACTTAAAAAGTCGTCACCAATCTTTTATCTAAATGTGATTAGCCATCTAATAAATCTATCTTTTTAAGAAGCTCCTAAACTTGACTAAGGGTCCTTAAAGAATAGGTTCTGACCTTCTAAATAGAATTAAGTTTAAGAGTTCGATTACGTATGGAGAATGTTATAGCACTCCCACATCGCCCATCCTAAGATAATACCATTTAATTTTAAATTATCTTAACAATTATCTTGGTTTTAATGATTTTTATTTTAATATTTAAATATTAGAAATGGTGTTTAAGATTTCTCTATCAATTTAGTAGAATTCTTAAAAATACTTCATCACCTCAAGAGTATTCAAGAATCCTATTTGTTTTCTTGAAGATGTTCCATCGTCTGAAAAAAATTTAATCATTTTTATTTTGATTTTTTTATTAAATATATATCTAATTATTTCACCATTTGAGCCAAATTAAAAATATCTTCCCACATCAAAATTTCTTAGATAATCAACCATTTGCGATTACTAAGAATTTCATCCTTAGTATTATTTTTTATTTTTGTTTTATTTCTAAATTTTTAACCATGTGGATCAATTTAAAATTTCTTTTTTGATTTCTAAATTTTTCACCATTTGGGACAACTCAGATTTTTTTTTTTAATCTTTGGAAAGAAAGTAATATGACAATTAATTTATTTTTAAGTTTCATTTAAATTCTTCCACCAATTGGGACAAATTTAAAGAATTTTTTTACCTAGAGAATTCTTAAAAAATTTACCATTTGAAAGTTTTAAGATTCTCATCATTGGATAATTGTCAAATATTTCAACCAAAAAAATTTTATTTGGAAAAGAATACAATTACTTTTATTAAAATTTTATCTAAATTATTCTACCGTTTAGGATAAATTTAGAGAATTTTCTCACTTAAAAATTTTAAAAAATCAACCATTCTTGACTTATTTTTATTGAGGTTAACTTTCATTTGTTTTTAAAGAAATTTTTATTTAAATTATATAAAAAATACAAAAATATTGAATTTATAAATTATTTATTTTATTATTAATGAACTTATAAATAAAAAATTATTGATAGTTGATGTTTCTAATTAAATCAATGTATATCTAATTAAACTTTAAATCGCCTTATAGCATGTCACTAACAATATGATATACATAAAAAAAATTTCATGAAATTAATGATTTTATAACTATTTAAATTATGTACAAGAAGACAATGGGCCACCACGTTAAAACCAATATAATTAGCAAAGAGCAATAGCAAGCAAATTCTTTATGAATAGCTTACCTGTGATGACAATCCCAAGGATTTACTTTTATTAAAAGCTATGTTGCTAGCCCATTGATAGCATCCAGCCTATGTCATCAACACGCCGCTGAATGGACTTCAAATGCAAATTCAATGATAAAACTATCTGGCATTAGAAAACATGGAAGCAAGCTACATTATGGATGGTCATGAAGCATCTTCTAGTAATTGATCAAGCTCTCAGATAAAATGACCAATTGATGAACTAAAGAGGTATTGGCAGACGAGAGTGTTGTAGGGTTTGAAGTTAATGTCTTTGATGAGAGTAGTAAGCATCAGGTATAAAGCTTTGGCTAAAGCTTCTGTGCTATTACTGTCATCAAGACCATTGTTGGATTGAGAATCTGGGTTTTTGTCAATTTCCTCTCTGATCATGTTGATTCCTTGTGTGTTCTTTAATCGATGATTAATAGGTCTATTTATAGGTGAGAATTCATGTCCAAACAGTGCTTCAACTCATAATAAACTTTTGATAAAATCTATCTGATAGTTGAGTTGGATTATGACTGAATTTTCTTTTTAAAAAAACAATTATCCAACCATATAATCATTTTTCAACTAAGTCCCTATCATTTTTTTATTTTTTTTAATGAAAAAATAAACAATAAATACAATAAAATAAAATTTAAACCTTAGACAAAATAGGATGTCTATAAATATATATATGCAAGAATCAAGAAATTTATGTATATACAATCACAAACAAAAGATAAAAAGCATAATTTAAATGAACACAAATTTGCTTCCAATATAATCACAACAAAAGATAAGCATATTTCCCATTGTCAATTCAAATATTGACATGCTAACTGGTTTAGCTTATTAGTGAGATTATATGATATAGAACTATTAAGAACTCTCTGCTTCCTAAAAAAAAAAAACCATTTGCCTTAATTAATTACTTATTTTTAGGAGAAAATATAAATGGGAGAAGAATTAAGGGTGTAAATAATATATTAATATTCAAAAGTTATTCGAGTTCAATTAGAATAAAATTTGAATTTGGTTTAGTTATTATTAAGTTGAGCTTGAGCTTGAGCTCGAGTAACTCAACTTATCGATTAAGTCGAATTTGAGTATTTTTATAATCGGCTCGAGTAGCTCGCGAATCTAATCGAATTTTTATATTTTAATTATTTTAATTAATAAAATATCTTGAACTTGAATTCTAGCACAAATAATGAATTTTTATCAAATATAACAATTAAACTTATTTTTATATGTTTATTGAATCTAATCAAGGGAGCTCGAGTAGCTTAATTTATATATCTAGTCAAGTTCGAGTTAAAAAAATTAAATTCAATTAAATTCGAATCGAGTTTCAAGTCTCAAATTTTAAATCAAGCTCGTGCTCAAATTTAATATTATATCGATTTGAATTCGATCGACTACATCCCTAACAACAATAAAAAAAAAATTTTATTTAAAAAGCTATCATTTTGTCTTTTCATGCCCATCGACTTTGAAAAAAAAAGAAAAGCTTGCAATTAGGGTTGGCAATCCAACCCGAGATTGATGGGTTTCGACTCAACCCGACCTCATAGGGTCGATTTTTTTTTTTGAAAAATCTAGTTTCGAGTCCGGTCAGGTATTACTAAGAAAAAATCGAGATAAGGTCAGGTTCGGGTTTTAGGCAAACCAACCCGATACTATATTAATTTTTTTTTAATTTTTTATTTATATATAATATATATTTATATATTTATATATTTATATTTAAAAATTAATATTTTATATTTTAAAAAATAATATTTTATTAATTTCGGGTCGGATTGGATCGGATACTGTTTATATAATATCAGATTTCAAGTCAGGTTCAAGTATTAAAAAATAAAAAAATTTTAGATCAAATCAAATACGGGTTTTATGATTATAAAAATCATATCGAATTTAGATTAAACAAAAATCTGCATCGATCCGACTTATTGCCAACCCTACTTGCAATCTATGTGGCATAGCATCTAGGCCCACGAACCAGGTTTTAGGGTAATTACTGCAGCCCATAATTACCATTAATTAGCTGCTTTGTTTGTGTCTATAGGCTCAGGATCCTGCAACTAACAATTGAAAATACTGACTCCATGGGCTTAAAGTCTGGCTTTCTTTGTTCTTGAGCCTACGGTGTTAGGGCTTAACTTATCCGAAACCCAACCTAGGCCTACCTATTATTTTTTTTTTTTACTATTATATTATTTGATGACCCAAGAAACCAACCAAGCCACAGTTTTTTTATCAAAGCAGTTGTAGTTGTCCTTTATGTTATGTCACGTCAGATTGCTTGAGAAATTTTTTTTTCAAAATATACAATCTGAAATCTATTTATAGGCGACGAAAACTTTTGTTTTCTCGTTGAACAAAGGTTATTTAAATGATCAAGATTAATTTTGATGAAATTAAAATAATGATAGAAATTAAATTACTTATTATAATAATAAAATTAAAATTATTAGTAAGATATATATAGATTTAAAAATAATGATAATAATAAGATATATTATAATAAAAAAATGATATTAAAGATAATCAATTAAAAATTATGTCATAAAATTTTAAATTATTTAATATTTATAAAATTATTTTTATGTCAAATAATAATTTTATAAATAAATAATTGAAATTTATTTATTAATTTATTGTATAAAAAAATTATTATTATTTCATAATTTCTAAATAAAACATTAATATAAATTTTGTCATTAGATTCTAATTATATAAATTCGAACAATACTTTTTATAATTGTCTAATAAAAAAAATGGCATCGACATGGACATTTTGGTTAAGGCTGCTTGCCTGTTTCATTCGATTTAATTTTATATATTTATATTAATTATTTATCTCTTGCTTCTAAAATTTTATATTTTTAGATGTTAATTAAAATAATAAACGAGCCAATAAGTTAAGATTTTCCATTCGAAACGTTTTAATTTATATATATTTTTTTATTTTTTTTCTAAGTACATGCACCTATTCTATTTCTAATCCTAATTAGGTTGATATGGGTAGTGAGCAGTTGTTACTTGTCACGTTTAAAATGGAGTCAATTTCAAATGCTTAAGACAATTTCAACTTTGGAATTAATAATTTCTGTACATATTCTACCAAATATCATATTTGTTTATATATAAAAAAAAATCGTAGGTTATAAATGATAAAGGTTGTTAAAATGTTTGGACTTTAATTTAAATTTATTAATATTATCTTTTAAGAATGATTGTATGTATCAATTGCTTTAATTTATTTAAAATTTAAACTTGAGAGAGAAAGAAACAAATAAAGATGGTTGAGGCTCGGATAAATCAAGCTTTGGGTTCAAGAACAATTAACTTTGATCTTGCTTGATTGGTCAGCTAAAAGTTGTTGCCATACGAAATTGCTTTCTGTTGACTTTACGAATAGTTTTTTCATATTTTGGAGTAGACGCAACATCTTTGGTAGTTCCGAAATCTGATGAATCAACTTGTTTCAGAGACAAACAAGGGTCAATTTCCATTTCCAATGGTGATTCAGACAATAATTTTACAAGATCACAAAAACACTAATTGGCATTTCTTGCCTCATATGTTTTCCCTTGGAGATTAGCCTCCATCATGGAAAATTATTTGTGATTACAAACCATAGCAGCCGACTACAGGCTCTAGCTATTACTTTACAACTGATCACAGCTGATGAAATTACCTAACACATGTTACAAAATTGCTTACAAGATTTATAACAGTAGATTGAACTTCTGATCAGTAGTAGAATCCATTGATTCCGTTTTCTTCTGGTCACTGTCCTTACCGACAACAATGCCGACCAATTTGCATGGTTCAGCCTCTTCCAGCATTTGAACTACGGCTCTCATGGTGGGTCTAGGGGCCGGCAGTGTGGCCGTGCACAAAATGGCAATTCTCAACATCTTGACAGCATCTTCTTTGAGAGCATCAGGGATTCTTGGGTCCACTATACTTAAAACACCCTCTTTATTTTTTATTTTGCCGCAGACCCAAGTCACTATGTCCTTGTTATCTCCATACTCTGGTTCGATTGGTCTCTTTCCACTCACTAGCTCCATTAATACCACTCCAAAGCTGTACACATCGCTCTTCTCGTTAACCTTGTAGGTGTAACCATATTCTGCAGAATTAACATTTTACTATTAACAAACAGGATCTGCTTATATATGTTCTTAATTCTCATAAACCAATGGGAACTTGAAAGAGTAAACAGCAAAAAAAGTAACTTACCAGGAGCTATGTAGCCATGGGTGCCTGCAATGACTTGGGTGGAGTCTTTACCACCATTGGCCTGAACAATCTTGGCAAGTCCAAAATCAGCAATCCTTGGCTTCAAAAACTCATCCAGTAATATGTTACTAGATTTGACATCCCGGTGGATAACTGGCCTCTCGCATCCATGATGAAGGTACTCTAGTCCCTTAGCTGCTCCAACTGCAATCTCATACCTAGTATCCCAATCAAGCTCCATTTTCCGACTTGTGTGCAATCGATCCCACAAGCTCCCATTAGGCAAGTATTCGTACACCAACAAGCTTGAGTCTTCACTTGTAATGCTGCAGTAAAGCTTAACCACATTGACATGTCTTATTGAGCTCAATGTCTGGACCTCCGCGTCAAATTCCTTTTCCTTTCCTGCACGTTTGCTGAGGATTGGGGTAGTACTCCGGCTCTTTCTGCGGCCATGAGAATCTGTGTTCCATATGTGTTTCACAGCAAGTTCCACACCATTAGAAAGCATTACTTTGTATACATTCCCAGACCCTCCTTTTCCAATCAGATTCTCTTGCTTGATGGAATCAAGAATTTCATCTTCAGTGAAAGTTAACACATGGAAAGGCTTAACATCCCAAGATTCTTCCTTCAAAGAACGGCCCTGATCTTTTTCTTTCCTCCTTAAATGTAAGAAACATCCTAGCGAAGCAAGCAAGATCGTTGCACCAAGAGCGAAACAAACTATAAGCGTACGAACATTTTTAGACATGCCAGAATCTGGTGGACATTGCTTGAAAGATCTGACAGTTGAACTGCAAAGGCCAGCGTTTCCAGCCAAGCTACCATTATATGCTTCAATGGAGAGAGACTGTGGTATAGGACCAGATAACTGATTATAGGATAGATCAAAAAGGTTCAGCTTGAGATTCGACAAGCTCTCTGGAATTTCACCGGAAAGTTCATTTCCAGACAAATTCAGAGAGTTCAATGTCAACAAAGATCCTAAAGACGATGGGATTTGGCCAGAAAGAAAATTATTAGCCATGTTTATGTCACTGATGGAAGCACAAGAACCTAGTGACTCTGGTATAGAACCAGATAACCTGTTGTTTTGCAATTGAAGGCTGCTCAATGTTTTCAGTTCCCCAATTCCGTCAGGGATTTTCCCTGAAATCTGATTGTTGTTCAGTTGAATTGCAACCAAAGATGTAGCTTCTGAAATCTCTTCTGGCAACTCTCCTGATAACCGATTGTATGCAGCTGACAGTATACCAATCTCTTTTGCGTTCTTGATATCAGATGTAATTGGACCTTCAAATTGATTGTAAGCAATGTCAATAATATCCACGTTTGGTAATCCCCATATTCCAGCCGGGACTCTCCCCGAAAGCGAGTTGTTACTGACTCTAAACCGCACTAAAGTGTTACAACTTGCATAAGTCACTGGAATTTCTCCGGTGAACCTGTTCTGAAGCATAAGAAGCCTCGTCATGGTTCCTTTCTTGCACATGTCTGGAGGAATTGGTCCAGTCAAGAAATTTTCTGATACATCGATGTAGTCGAAATCAGCCCAAGAACCTAGATTTTGAGGCAGAGGACCAGTCAACATGTTGGTGTAAAGAGACAGATTCACCAGTTTCTTGAATTCACCCAACTCGGGTGGTACTTCACCTGTAAACTGGTTCTCAAAGAGTTGCAGACTTACCAGATTGGACAAATACCTCACTTCTGAGATATCTCCTTCAAGATTATTGGCTGAGGCATCGAAATATTCTAGTTTTGTCAGATTTCTTAATCCAACAGGAAGTTTTCCTGTCAATTCATTGCTATAAAGCTCAAGCTGCCAGAGATTTTGAAGCTTTCCAATCTCCACCGGAATTTCTCCAGATAAATAATTGTCTTGGAGCTCTAATTCCATAAGCTCGATGAGATCTCCAATTGCTAGAGGAATCTTCCCTTCAATGCTGCAATTCGCCAAATAAAGCCAATTCAGTTTCTTCAGCTTCAGAATCTGATCAGGAAATGGAGTCCGGTCAAAAGGATTGTCCCCGAGGCTCAGAACAGCAAGATTGGTCATGTTTTCAAGCGATTTCCATGGGAAAGGACCAGAGAATCCGCTTCCATTCAAATAAAGGTACTGTAATTCGCTGAGAGTAGATATATCCGGAAATGAACCCGTAAAAATATTGTTTCCAAGATCCAGATATTGAAGCTTTACACAATTACCCAAATCTTTTGTGATTGCACCATACAATAAATTGTACCCCAAGGAAAGCTTATCCAAGGATTGAAGCTGGCATATTGAATCCAAAGGAAGAACACCCGTCAGCTTCTGACTTGAAAGCTCGATTTCCTTAACCGACCCTTCAGCGTTGCAAGTGATTCCATTGAAGCTGCAGACAGAATTGGCAGCCCACCATGAATCAAGAACATTGGTGTTTGATTTATTAAGAGCAGATTTCAGGTTCAACAATATTTGGACTTCATCAGATTTTACACAACAAGGCAAGGAGAAACAGAACAGAAGACACAAACGGAGAAAGATTTGCCGGTAAGGAGAGGCGTTTGACATTCCGGAGACTGGAAACAAACAAGAAAGGATGACTTTTATTGAAAGGGCTCCCTTGTAATTAAGAGACACAAAAGAAGAAGAACAACTCAAGATAGTTGCATTTAAACGAAGGTGACCAGAGGGATTTATTATTACAAGGGGGGCTTTCTTTTTCATTTGTCTGTTATAACGGTCATTGTTTTGTAGTAAAATTCTTAAAAACAATGGCGAAAGCACATTTTTTTGGAAACAGAAAAAGGTTTATCTGCTGTTGCTGTTCATTTATTTATGTTAGCTGGAACAAAGTAAACATTTTATTTTCCTATATGAAGCCAGCAGCCACCGCCTGTTTTATTCTTTTTTAAACTATTTTTTCTACATGTAACCAGTTTTGTTTATTTGTATTTAAGGTTCTGGTCTTATCTCCAAAGCTGTGGACTAAAATGGGTGCCCTACTGTGTCAATTGATGACAGTAAGAAGCAGCCATGGGGTAGTAGGCAGTTGACATGTAAAAGACAAAGGAAGACTTGAGCTAAAAGTATCAAAAGTTAATCTTTGGTGCCTGACCATCTTCCTAAAATAAAAAACTTGACATTATCCAAAGTTAATCCAACCCTTATAAGTTTCTTAAGATTGACTGATTTCTTAACACGATTGTTAAAGCTTTTTTCTCTTTTGTTCTATGATATGTTGGAAAAGATTTAAATGAAATTTTTAGATGAATTTTGTAAAATTTTTTATTAAAAGTGATTAAATAAAAATTAAAAATTAAAAATTAAAATCGATAAATTAAAAAATTTTGTTATATAAATTAAGTATGTAAATTTTAAAAATTTTTTATAAACTTATATATTTTAAGATAAATATTTTTAGTAAAAATGATGATAAAATTTTTATTATTGAATAAATATCGATCAAATTTAAATTATAAATAATATTTTTAATAATTTTTTTATATATTATTAATTTACACGTTAAACTTTATTAATCTATCTGTTTATATTTTTTATCAATATTTTTTATTAAATTATTTTTTTAAAAAAAATTTACAGATTTTACATAAAAAATTTCATATAAATTTTATCATAATAATATGTTAATGTAGTACAAATCTTTAACATCAAGTATGAAATTTTGATCTAATATAATTAATAACATTAAATTATTTTTCATGAAATATTGTTTTTATATTATCTATTTTTTTAGAAAATTATTTGTTGTAATATAAAAATTTTCTGAAAGGTTTTATTTAAAACTTTTTAAGATAATTATATCTCAATGATTATTTTGCATATATATATTTTTTGTTACAATTGAAGTTTTACAAATAAATGAACTTTGATTTTAAAAGTTTTTACTTTTTTGTGAAAACAAAAATTAATTAATACAGGATAGTGAGGAATTTAATAATCTTAAAAGCAATGAGATTTAATAAAATTTAGTGGGTTTTAAAAAAGATAATAATTGAGAAATAGGTTTCAATGGGCTACGAAGGTCGCTGTTGCGAGGCAGATTTGATACGTGGAATCTCATCAGGCGATTGATGTACTCGTATTCTAGAGGGCGGTGTTTTCCTAGTTTACACTTAGGCATCCTATCATAAAATTTTTTAAAAAATGCGTTAACTATTTTATTTTATACATATATAATCTTTGGTTATTTTGTCGTTTACATTTTTTTTTTGAGAAAAAATTTAGGAACAGATTAAATTATTCCATCACTAAAATGGTATCAATTTATAAGAAAAATTTTAAAGATTTTTTTTTTAATTTTTTTGAATTTATAAATTATTTATCTTTAAATTTAAATCTAATGTTACCTATCTAAATTTTAAATTTTAATTACTTACATTAACTCTTATTGATCATCATATTTGCACATTTATTTACGATTATCTCTTATCTCAATTTTTTAATTTTATTTTATTTTCAAATAATTTTGAACTATTTTTTTCTATATTAAATTAATACATTCGCCATTTCATGGCTTATTATAAAAATTGAACTTTGAATGATTAAAAAATACTTGATTAATTTTGACTCTGACTTTTCCAACAAAATCCTAACAGTCAAAATAAAATTCATTTTTTTTTGGGTCTTTTTTACAGTCTCGAATCCCAAGACCAACCGTGTGGAATTTAGAACAGATTTCACTACAAAAGTCCAAATTTGTTCACCAAAAAAGGCATGTCGGCCCATGGGAATCTAGAAATTCAGGTACCGCCAGACAGCGAACTTCTCCGGGGCGCTTCGACGAAAACTGGGATGAGGTTAAAAAGCCAAAGGATAAAAAAATTTTGAAATAAAAATTTAATAATCATTTAAATTTTTTATATTTTATTATAATAAATCATATTTTAAATTAATTAAATATTTAAATATTTATTTTTATTTAATTAAACTTTTAAATATTTATTTCTTTTTTAATTAAATTTTTATTACTAAAAATTAATAGTAGTGGTTAACAATTTTTATTTAATGAGAGTTTAACTTGATAAAAATAAAAGTTTAAGAGAATTAATTATAATAAAATAATAATTCTTTTAAAAAAATTTATTCAAAAAATTTTTTAACCTTTCAAACTTAAAAGTTTTTTCCATCCGTAAACCGTCATTTCATTTCTTTTTTTTTTTTTTTTCATTCGAGTGAAGGACAACACAATTATTGTAGTAAATTTAAGTGATGGGCTCCCATTTCCCAACATGCATGGTATATTATTTTTGTAAACCAGATAATAATGCAAGTATTTTTGTTTTCTTGCTTGCCTTTGTTGTAAGAGATAATTAAAACAATAAAAAAAAAAAGAGACAAAGTACTATATGCCATGAACGGTTTGCGTTAATAAAGCATATGAGAGATCTTTAATTTGTCTAACTTTCATATTGGACTACAAAAGTTTCATTTCCCTTTTATAAAGTATATTTTCTTTTTTTTTGCCTTTGTCAAAAAAACCAAGCCACACTGATAAGAAAAAAGCTATGATACTTGGTTTGTTGAAGAATAAAGGAGCAAAAGGACAAATATTGGGTTGGAAGAAGACTTTGAGTCTTTGTTAGGTTAAAGATTTTATTTATTTATTTATTTATTTATCTCAAAATAACAATTGTCATTACCATAAACAATAATTATTAATTTTAAAAAGATACTGTCGAATATTATTTAATGGGAAGTTTAAATTCAAATACTTATAATTTTTTTTTATCCTTAGATTATAACGTTTTGTTAAAAAATTTATATTTAACTCTTCTTCTCCATATATAATTTATTAGATGGTCGAATCATGGTTGGTATCCGAAAAAAAGAAAATAAATATAATAAATCGCAAGGAATCTTGGGCTGCTAATAATGCCATCGAACATGCTATGAAAATTGTAATGTAGGAAAATAAATATAATAGAATCTTTATTTGATATGGTTTAGTTAACAAATAAAAAAAAATGAGTGTATCATTAGGAATAAATACCTAATTGTTTTTATACATCAATTTAGGACAACTTTAATTAAATTGATGAAAAACATATGCTGACACAAAATTTTTTTTATGTTCAATAATTAAGAAAGTAAATCAAAATTTTGAGTTATTTTTTATTTACTGCTCAGCTTTTATTAAATAACATTAAGAAAAGTAGTTCATTTTTCTGTCAAAAGGTTTCTCAAGTTTTCATTAATGTTATTTTTTTTGAGATAACATCAGTATCCTTGAATGTTTACACATGTAGGCCTTGATAGTTGTTACCCCACTTTGATTCAGATTGATTCTGGTGGGTATTCTCCGAACCTAATCAATCACGGCATTTGAAATTTCCTTCATTTTTCTCTTTATATGGTTTTCACAATCCATTCTCGTTTCTTTCATTTTCAAGACACAAGTTGATATACATGCTACAAAGCTATGGACATCCAGTGGCAATTGGGATTTGGGATCGTTTCTTTGGTTTCCATTTGGGTGGTTTAGGGTTTTGTCAGATCAGTTGCAGTTCAATTAGATAGCTATTTAACTTTTAAAATCATTAAATCAGAGTTAATTTAAATTGAATTCAGAACTTGTCTCAATTAATTTGTGTAAATATCTTTTAAAAAACGGCCTCTGTCATTTAATAAGTTTAAAATTTAAATTTCAATATGTACAATCTATTCTCAACTTTTAAGCGGAGTTCTCAGTTGAAAAAAAAATTCGAATTGGATTTTAGACAAGTTTAGTGAATTATTCAAGTTTCAAGTTTACTTCCACAGCATTTCACTTTGCAAAAAAAAAAAAAATTAATCATAATTAAATCAGAAGTTAGATATGGCTTTAATTTCTTCAATTACCTATGGGTATAAGTTATTGCAAGTTAAATTCATGATTAATTCTTTTTGTCACATTTTTAAAAGAATTATATTCACCATCGCCAGTAGTCCAGTACTAAAGAATAGAAGAAACCCAAGTTCCATTTTTCTTCAGTACTTGCCTTGATGTTCATGATCGATGTGGGCTCAGCTACTCAGACTAAATAATAAACAGCCAGATTGTTGAAAAATAATTGATCATCAATATTCTTCTTCCACTCTTCCTAGCTTGCTAGCTAGCGCTTGTTTCCTTTTGTCTTGTGCTGATTTTTCTACTTTACAAGTCAAAATTTTATCACTCCGCGTGCAGGCCTTGTAGCCAAACCATGTCCTTGGCTGCTTGATTTTGATTAATCAATTGGAAAAACAAGGTTTGAACTGTTTCCTAGCTATGGATCTTATCCTAAATTAGCATTTTTTATTAATTTATGCATCCTTGTCCCTTGTCTTACCTTGTTTTTACATATGAATATGATTTAATTTCATGGTCGGTTGCTTTAAACGTGTCAATAATGTAGGGTAATAAGTAACTTTTTTTTTTTTTTTTACTTTCTTTCTTTACTCTCCAATTATTGACCATTAAAAAGTGAGAGCCTTTTGGATACATGGTGAAAGTGTTGGGATCCTGGTGGTAAAAATCCTTATCACATTGCATCCAAATGAAGCATAAATAAAGATACAGAAATAACAATGTATTTTGTCTTTGGTTCCTTTATTCCTGAAGAGACTGGAGATGGGACTTATTGAGACGATTTGCTTGGAAGAAGGGAAGCGATTTTCTTGACTTGAGTGACAATGCCATTTTAAACTTGAATAATGCTTTTCTGACTATAGGGATTTGCCAGTTGCCACTGATAAAATTTTAGATTAGATAGCACTCAAAACGCAGAAAAACTAGCAAGAAACAACGTTTGAACAAGGGTAGGGATGAGTGGTCAATTGCTCAGATTCTTTTGTAGAAAATACAACATGTCAATGACTATATGAATGACTAGTTCAATAATGGAGGAGACAGTCATTCAATCTCTC